GAAATCGGACGCTCCGTTCTCTTAAAAACTGAGTTACCGTTTTCGCCACTTTTTGCCCCGTATCTTCGGAACGGCTAGACCTGCCTCCGCCAAAAACTAATCAGCACGTCTCCTTATCAATACGAATCGAATGTTTTTCGAATTATTCAAATCGGTTGATCGGTGTTCCCGAAATCGTCGACGAAAATTTGTATCCGCACATACATACACACACATACATACACACACACACACACACACATACATCCATTTTTTCTAAGGTGTGCCAAAATATTCAGAAACCTTTGAAACGTCGAGAAGCCCTACGGGAAGTTAATGAACATATATTATTTTACTATTTATTTATTATTTTACTATTTTATTTATAATACTATTTAATTTACTATTCAATACTCATTTTAATATATTTTAATTTTTTTATCATAACATTCGGTATATGTATAATTCGGTATAATTTAATTGATTTTAGATATTTTTATTTAAATAAATATAAATAACAACATTTGTTTGAATGAATCAAAGAATATTTAAGGTTATAAATGTACGAAATAATAACTTTATTTATTAGTTACGTTGTTATAAATCATTTAAAATGAATATAAAAAAAATCTATATAAGTATATTAATTTTTGTAGTGATTTCAACATCAAATAAATAATTCTTGTTTTATTATCGAATATTAGCACATTTATATGTTATTATGTTATCAATTATTATTGAATTTCACTAATATCGATTATAGAATTTGTATATTTAAAAAAAAAATTGTAGGGTTTGTTAATGATTTGATTTTTATAACATTCGCAATTCAGGCTAAAATCTCGCATGTTTTCTGACCCTCGAACGAGCGGTTATTCACGGTCGTCGTGTTTAGGAACTTACGCTGTATAGTGGCCTAAATGTTTCAGCAAACATTTACGCTAGATATCAATGTCAATATCATAATACCTTATAGCATTTTGTTAGTCTCGACAAGGAGAATAAAATAATGATTATGCATAAACAAAATAATAATATTATAGTTAATTTTGACGCGTGTTTTTAAAAAAGGGCGTGGCTTAGTGATCGTGGAAAGATTTACTAATAATTATCGTACAAAATTTATTAATAATCATAAATAAATGAATTGTTATAAAATTATAATAGTATTATTATAAAGTTATAATGAATTATTATGAAATTTTACTATTGTCGAATATAAATTTTGTATATTTAGGTATTATTTACATATTTCCTTAAAATTTAAGAAAAATTAGATAATCTCGAAAAAATTATATGAACACACATAACGATTTATATATCATTTTATTCGTGATTTTATTCTGCATCTTTCGTACGAACAAAGTTTTTTCGTATCTTTTACTGTTTAGCTAGTAGAGAGCAATCTGTGTGATTGATCACTTATTGAAATGCAAATTACATTTAGATTGCAGAAATTATTGACAATATTTCTATATTTTCATAAAGAAACCATATAAATTATAATACATTGTTAAAATTTCGTATGGTTCTCCAGTCATTCAATTCTAATAACAATCACCATTTAGGCTAAAATCTTGCATGTTTTCTGACCCTCGAACAAACGATTATTCACGGTCAGCGTGTTTAGATATAGCAGCAGAGCCGCCTATTCAGTTCAGCAAGCATTCAAGAATAAAAGAATAAAATAATATTTATTAAATATCAACTAATATATAATCTTTTCTCGGCAATGAATATAAGATATTATTATTTTATTCTATACAATTGAATTAAAAAAAAAAAAAAAACATAAATATTATATTTTATTATTAATGACTAAATTATTTATACATTCGATTTATTTTAATAAATTATAATATGATAGAAATATTATGATTTTACAGAATAAACAGTTTGTGAATTTTTTGACTCAAGTTATTTCAAGAAACAACAGTACAATTGTTTACTGTTTTGTATTTTATCGTTCTTTTGAAAACTACGAATGAAATAATTAATTATAACGATAATATTATTTTATTTGATACTATGCAAAAAGAGAATAGAGCACACACAAAAAATATTGGTAAATATAATATGCGTTCAAAAATATTCTTGAACTTGAATGCACGACGCGACATAATGTTTTACACAAATGATTTCTAACCGAATTTTATGCGTTGGTGTATTGATAGTGTATTACATCGTAAATATAATTAATTATTTCATACAAATAATATTTTATTTTAATAAAATATTATATTCGTTATTTAATCAAATCGTTTATATTAGCTATTGTTCAGTATGGATTCATAGAGTACTCAAATGAATGTTCAATGACAGTTTATGAACAATTATGATACTATTTATGAATAAAAATTTACAAAAACTGTTTCTAGGATATATAAGTATAATTACATCGCATCAAAATATAACATATCTCAATGCTCATAAAAATGCGATAACGATTTTGTTGAAAACGCACTATTGAGTGCAGAAATTATTTGAATATAATTAGCGATATTTTAGAAAAACTAACCGTTGAAATAAATCATGCTTTTGATGATATGTTGGGGATGAATTTGGCTATCATATAAATCCATTGTTTTATGCGAATTATTTAGAATAAAAGCGCTGGATTTAATTTTTTACAAAAATTTACATTTTTGTAAAATTTTCAAATATTATTGTTTTCTCCTCGTCCTACACTTTTCGAATATAGTTTTTGGCCACGCCCCTAACATATTTAACCAATCACGTGTTAGATTTACATTTTAACCTACGATTTTTTACTATAATGTCAGATAACGCTTTATCTACGTCGCCGGCGGCAACCGCTGCGCCAGCGACAGCATCGCCGAAAAAAGGGCAAGACTGCGGCTGTTAAAAAACCGCGAGTGAAGCCGTCCCATCCTCCTACATCTGAAATGGTAAACAACGCTATTAAAAGTCTGAAAGAACGCGGCGGATCGTCGCTGCAGGCGATTAAGAAATATATGTCGGCCAATTATAAAATCGACGCCGAGAAAATGTCAACGTTCATTAAAAAGTATTTAAAGTCAGCTGTTCAAGCGGGCACACTGATTCAAACAAAAGGCAAAGGTGCTTCGGGTTCGTTCAAACTTGCCGCGAACGCTAAACAGAGCGGCGGCGAAAGCGGTGTTTCGGCTGGAAAAGCCAGGACCGCTAAGACGCCAGCGGCAAAAGCAAAATCGAAGACAGCAAAGTCGAAGGGCGCTTTGGCCAAACGGGCCAAACCTGCTTCGTCCCCTAAAAAGAAGTCTGCATCCGCAGCGGGCACATTAAAAAAGTCGTCGGCGAAACCTAAGACGACAGTCGATAAGAAGAAGACCATTCAGGGTAAGTCGACGAAAGCCTCATCGGCCAAGGCAACGAGCAAAACGAAGAAAACCGTCAAGACCGCAGCCGCAAAGAAACCTAAATCGCCAAAGAAGACATCAAAAGTAGCCAAACCTTTGAAAAAAGCGTCACCGAAAAAGAAGTGAAAACATTTCATTATCTTTTTACACAACAGCAAACGAAAATGTTTGCACAAAGTCCTTTTCAGGACTAACAATAAATTTTTATCAAAGAACATTATTATTTTACTTATATATATATCTTATCATCTTATATTATAGCCTTTTCGTGGACTTCGGAAAAAATTTTAATAAAATATTTGTAACAGGAGCGCAGCAACGCTCGCTGTGTTCCTCGCCGTGTTGTGTCATTGACGAAATTTAAAAGTCAAAGTCTTTTCAATTTTCAATTTCGTCTTTGGTAGGGAGTTGTTCAATATCAATCGCTGAATTTTATTTATTTATTTATTATTTTTTTTTAAATAATTTTATATGAATAAATTATCTTAATCAAATGAAATATAATCAATAATTTATTAATAAAAGTTTTATATATCACTTTAAATAAATCAACTATACATAGAACGGCAACTCTCATAATAATTAAATTCATAATTTTTTCTAATTTTTTTTTATATAAATAATAAGTAAATGGAAATTAATTAATGAAATAAAATATAATCATTAATAATTTATGAAGTTTCAATCTTTTTTTCATATCGTATTCGAAAAGAAAATTTATATAACTTTAAATAACTATATATGAAATTAAAAAATATACAATCAAAAAAAATATTTATATATAAATATAAATATATATATATATATATATATATATATATATATATATATTTCTATCATCAGAACGGCAACTCGCCCATATTAATTAAATTTAGAATTTTTTAAAGAAGCTTTCAGAAATTCATGACGAATTTTACAAATTCAACTATAATATTTTTTAAACTTAACACAACAACACACTATTCAACAAGTCAAGTCATATGTGTTGTCAATAATTTCAATTAAAAAAAAAATCAATAAAAATTTCTAACGTATCGATGGAATAATTCTGCAAAATAAAATAATTTGAAAAATAATAAAAGTTCTTTTAATTGATCATTTTGGTGGTCCTGAAAAGGACCGATTTGTTTTATAGGACGACAGGCGTCTAAGCGCGTTCTCCTCGAATACGCCGAGCTAGTTGAATATCCTTGGGCATGATGGTTACGCGCTTGGCGTGGATCGCGCACAAGTTTGTATCTTCGAACAGGCCAACCAAATAGGCCTCGCTAGCTTCCTGCAATGCCATGACGGCGGAGCTCTGAAAACGCAGATCGGTCTTGAAGTCCTGAGCGATCTCGCGCACTAGACGTTGGAACGGCAACTTTCGTATGAGAAGCTCGGTGCTCTTCTGGTAACGACGGATCTCACGCAGAGCTACGGTGCCAGGCCGATAACGATGCGGCTTCTTCACACCGCCGGTCGCCGGTGGACTTGCGAGCTGTCTGCTTCGTACGGGCCATTATAACTCCTAGATTTTGTTTCGAGAACCTTCTCGTTTGACGATCGTTTTGATACTGACGCGTCCGGCTCGAATATTATGATCAAAATACATTACGAATGTCCGATGCTGTGCTCGGCTGTCATTGGTCGGCGCCGAATGCTCGCATAGCTATGATGGGCGTGGCCTAGCGAGCTCAAACTTTTCAATAATTTCGCTCGTCGGAATTCAGTCGTTATTCAGACTTCGAGCTGTTAACATCAATTTGTAAATTTATCCCGACTGCGATATATTGAAAAATGACCGGCCGTGGCAAAGGTGGTAAGGGACTCGGAAAGGGTGGCGCTAAGCGACACAGGAAAGTTCTTCGCGATAATATCCAAGGTATTACAAAGCCGGCTATACGTCGTCTTGCTCGCCGTGGCGGCGTCAAGCGTATCTCGGGTCTAATCTACGAAGAGACCCGCGGTGTTCTGAAAGTGTTTCTCGAGAACGTTATCCGCGATGCAGTCACATAACACCGAGCACGCCAAGAGGAAGACCGTAACCGCTATGGATGTCGTATATGCGCTCAAACGTCAGGGTCGTACACTGTACGGTTTCGGCGGTTAAATTGATCAACGGACGCAGTCATTTCTTATAAATACAAAACAAAAAGAGCCCTTTTAAGGGCTGTCAAATATAATTAAAAGAACAAGTAATATATTTTACAATTTACGTACAGGCTTTATTTGATTTTATATGAAATTTGTTTATTTTCTTGCAGAATAACTTGCTTTGGTAATATTATTGATAATATTATCAAATTGGAAAGCCCTTCGAATATGTTTTAAAGAAAGTATTAATTAATATATATTTTACTATTTTTTCGTATTGACTTTTTATATGCAATTGATTTCTTTTCTTACATGGGGGGGCTTCAATTAATAGAAAATAGAAGCCCTTTTAGTATTAGTATACTTTACAGTTAAGGGCTTCGAAAAGGGCTCTGAATTGAAGGAGCTCAATTAAATGAATGAATTTATTAAATTTTGCATATTATTTAAATTTATATAATATGTAATAATATATTTTATATATTTAAATAATAAAATTTTTAAAATATTTACGACAATAATTTTATTTTTTACGAAAATATTTAAATAGCGATTTTTTTTAATATAAATATATTTTATAATAAATTAAAATAAACTTAAACTTATTAACTAAATTTGAAAAACTAAAGTTTTAAATTGAATTGAATATTCAATCATTAATTTTTATCATATTGAAAATATATAGAAATTGAACATTATTTATAATATAAATTAATAATAACGATCTCTAATAGAAATCTGATCAAAATCCTAATAAAATATCATTAGTGTCAGGTTATTTTATTTTATCTATAAAACCAATGTAAAAATTATAAAGTTCTTTTGTAAAATATTTGTGGGCCCTGAGAAGGGCCTTTGTTATTGTCGACAGAACATATAAGTGGCATCACAAAATCTTCATCATTTTATTTCGAGCTGGTGTACTTGGTTACGGCCTTAGTACCTTCGCTGACGGCGTGTTTGGCCAACTCGCCTGGTAGCAATAGCCGGACTGCTGTCTGAATTTCCCGACTAGTGATTGTAGAGCGTTTGTTGTAGTGAGCCAAACGCGATGCCTCGGCCGCTATACGCTCGAAGATATCATTCACAAAGCTGTTCATGATGCTCATCGCCTTGCTCGAAATGCCCGTGTCAGGATGGACTTGTTTCAAGACTTTGTAAATATAAATGGCATAGCTCTCCTTGCGCTTACGTTTCTTCTTCTTGTCGCCCTTTGAAATATTTTTCTGGGCTTTGCCTGCTTTCTTAGCCGCTTTACCGCTGGTTTTCGGTGGCATGTCTGATGTTTACTAGTACACTGACTGATACGAAATGAGTCGTGCCGACGCTCCGTTTTCGTACTGCTTCAACGTTTTGACTGAAGCCGTAACAACGTACGTAGGCAAGGGAGGGGCGTGTCTACAAAAAATGGGCGTGTGCTTGCAACGCTCAGAAATCTATACGGGCCCGTTCGAGAACTTTGATATCATTCTCAGTTTGAACACGAACCTGTAAACATGTCTGGTCGAGGCAAAGGCGGTAAAGTCAAGGGAAAGGCTAAGTCACGGTCTAACCGTGCCGGTCTTCAGTTTCCAGTCGGTCGTATTCATCGTTTGCTACGCAAAGGCAACTATGCCGAGCGTGTCGGCGCTGGTGCACCCGTCTACCTCGCTGCAGTCATGGAATATCTGGCCGCCGAAGTTCTCGAGTTAGCCGGCAATGCGGCTCGCGACAACAAGAAGACCAGAATAATTCCGCGTCATTTGCAACTGGCCATCCGCAATGACGAGGAACTCAACAAACTGTTATCGGGTGTTACGATTGCTCAGGGCGGTGTATTGCCGAACATACAAGCTGTGCTTTTGCCAAAGAAGACAGAAAAGAAAGCTTAAATTTCTTTTATTGTCGCAAATTGACATAAAACCGTCCTTCTCAGGACGAACAACTTTATTCAAAAATGAACATATATTATTTTACTATTTATTTATTATTTACTATTTTATTTATAATACTATTTAATTTACTATTCAATACTCATTTTAATATATTTTAATTTTTTTATCATAACATTCGGTATATAATTTAATTGATTTTAGATATTTTTATTTAAATAAATATAAATAACAACATTTGTTTGAATGAATCAAAGAATATTTAAGGTTATAAATGTACGAAATAATAACTTTATTTATTAGTTACGTTGTTATAAATCATTTAAAATGAATATAAAAACTAGCTGTAAGTGGAATTCTGTCTTAAGGCAATTAAGGCATCGTGCCTTAAGGCAAATTGCTGGAACTTCCCGTACCAAAAATTATTATTTTTTTAAAAACGATTAACATTTTTGAAAAAAATTTACTTCGAAAAAATAAGATTTTGACAAACAATTAGACAAAAATTACTTTTTTTTTAAAAAAATTTTTTTAATTTTTTTTTTTTAATTTTTTTTTTTGAAAAAAATGTTTTCTTTATTTTGACATATTTTGAAAGATCTAAACTTTTTTTCAAAGCAATCGTACTGCATAAAGACGAAATATCAAACCGCGTAAGCGCCGCGTCGACGTCTAACGCGTAAACATTGGTACGGAACCCATAGGAATGTAAACCAAAATTATACTTATTGTTAAAATCTCTATAAAATATCTGATAATTTGATGTGCATATGTCTAATGATCATTTTTGACCGGCAAATGGCTTATTTTTTTACTTTTTTCATTAGATCTCCGAAACCGCTAGACCTGCCTTTATGAAAATTTGATCGGTTCTTCACCTTGTCAATACAAGTAAAATGTTTTTTGAATTATTGAAATCGGACGCTCCGTTCTCTTAAAAACTGAGTTACCGTTTTCGCCACTTTTTGCCCCGTATCTTCGGAACGGCTAGACCTGCCTCCGCCAAAAACTAATCAGCACGTCTCCTTATCAATACGAATCGAATGTTTTCCGAATTATTCAAATCGGTTGATCGGTGTTCCCGAAATCGTCGACGAAAATTTGTATCCGCACATACATACACACACATACATACACACACACACACACACACACACACACACATACATCCATTTTTTCTAAGGTGTGCCAAAATATTCAGAAACCTTTGAAACGTCGAGAAATGCAAAAATTTTCATTTTCGATTTTTTTGCGATTACTATAACTTGCCCTACGGGAAGTTAAAAAATAAACTCTACTCACAAGACCGCTTTCCATGAAACAACACTTAACTGTATAACATAACTTAATGTATCTGGCAATCATCATAAATTTTATGTATAAAAAAAAAACAAATTATTTTATGTATTGGTGTTTACGAAAATGATTATGAATAACAGAATACGCTAAACAATCCTAATAATGTTCGTAATAAAAAAGATTCTAAATCTGTATAGAACAACATTTTTCTATACACTAATTATAATAATTTCGAATTTAAAATTTATATTCTAATAATCTTAATTTAAAATGATGGTAATTATAATTAGCCTATAAAACGTATCTAATTGTACACGAACAAAAGCCTTTCCCGAAAACCGAAATCAAACAAAACAACAACCCCGCGCGACCGAACAAAACAAACGTTAACGAACAAAAATATAAATACAATAAATAGATTCAGCATTTCAAAATTATTATAAACAACACTTCGGCATCAATAAATTAAATTTTTAATAATCACTCGAACCACGTGATTTTTCATTTTCGCGCCAACACATTTTGGCGAACTGCTTTTACAATCGCGCATTAAACACATCGTCAAACTCTATAACCGTCAACCTATACCATTTATAGACTCAAAATAACAACTAATTTTCAAAATTCTTTGCTTACGTACAGTTCTAAGTGTTCTAACAATCATTTGTACACTCAACTATAGTAACAAAAATAATCGTAAATTCCAACAAAATATATTCAATTAATCTATCGCGTAATTAAGAAATGCCGAATCTCCGTGAACAATCAAAAACCAAATCGATAAATAAAAATAACCCGACACTACTGTAAACTTAAACAAAAGAAAAATAACCGCGAATTAACTAACAATAAAATTATATTACCGAGATCGTAAGTACTACCGTCGATGGTGGACCAGAATGATTACCAAAATTATTTATGCTAATTTAATCATCTGATCGTTGAACCAACGAAAAGTAGTACCCGGCGCTAGTCCTCCATTTGTTACGGATTCCTTTTTATTTCTTTCATTTATAATCCTTATTTTATTGTTAGTTAGTTAAACTCACTGTTACCTTTTATCGCGTACTCCTGAAAGATTATTTAAATTTACAACTACAAGTAATGAGAGGCGTTTGTTCGTTACTTAATTACAAACCTATATTTAAACATAACAATCCTTTAATCTAAAACATTTCTTATTCTAACATGCAACTTATTCTAGACTTATCTTTAACCACGGCGCAACCAGTGTTCATCACATGTCCATACATCGGGCCCGATTCACATTATTCACTTAAATCACATCTTATAATTACACAAAGTCTATATTCGGTTTGGGGCAGCTTCCGATACGCTGCCCCCCATGACATTATTTTAACTTACATTATCATCAACATTAATTTGATAAAAGATTGCGCGCACTACACCGCGCTCATCCCTTCGACTTATATTAAAGAATCTTTCGACCCGACACCCCTGAGGGCCTACGACCGACTTTATTGACTGTTAAAAGCAGACAACGACTCTCAGCCCTCAACACACTCCTCATCAGAGACATGGCGTTTTTATGCATACTCGTATAGGGAGAGGGGTAGTAATGTGTTATTTTACATCCGTGTGTGGGTTCTCACCCACACATTCGTAACAGTATCATGTAAACTCTATTCGAATATTTTATTATTTTTATCTTAAGGATTTACAATACCACTTTCACATACACGCGCATCACTTTTCTTTCCATTTTATGTGCTTTCGTTTTTGCCTCAGATATTTTATAAG